CTGCATCCTATATTCAGAAATTAGTCATTTTTCTACCTCCACTATCAATCAAGGCATTGATTTTATTTAATTATCCTACAGTCCTCATTAAAAGCTTTACATTCTAGAAAGGGGTTTGTACTCCACCATCATTTTCAAGAACAACAAAAACAAATATTTATATAATATATAATATAAAAATATATATTGTATGTGTCTATATATATATGTGTGTATATATATATATATATATATATATATATATATATATCACGCCAGTTACAGGTTTAATAAACTATTAGGCTGAAGTGTTTGTGATATAAACTGATAAATACCATGCAGTTCTGTTTAGCTGTTCTAATTTTAAAAGAAATAATTTCTGAGCATGATTAAAAAGCACTAGGCAGTTTGAGCAAAGCTCTAAACCAATTTATATTTTCATATCTAGAAGAAGAGGTGAGTCTTAGATACATTCTCTGCAGGTAGATAAGGCGTGAAAGTACAAACTTTATACAATTTGGAAAATGTTTCAAATATTCTAAAAGAAATATTACTAGAGATGAGAATCAATCTATTAAGGTGGAATTTTGGCTTAGTATAATCAAGACACCGAAATGCTTCCTAGTTTTGAAGTGCTGTGGACATGATCTCATGAAAATATGGGCCTGTAGGTCTTCAGATCACTAACTGAAACACGAACTATTCAATTTTACAAGAGGCTTAGTTAAGTTTGTGCTGTACTAAGCAAATCAATTTATTTCAAAACATCCATTGCACTAATTGCTATTCATTCAATCCACCAGAGTATCAGGAATCAGGATCATGTAAATCAGGCAATAAAATGAGTCTGACTTTAGAACTTTGAAAACACTCATGTTAGAAGGGCAGAGGTAATCAACATTTAAGGGCTCCTACAGCATCCTCTAGACAGAAAGAATTCAACCCACAAACATTCTTCAAAGACAGTAAAAGGCAGTTTAGGGCTGGCTATAAGGAACCTAGTTACAAACAATACAAGAAAAAAGGGCCATTATTGCCCCAGTATTACCATTATAAAGTATTATAAATAACACCAAAGTCAATGGGGCCAATGTCCCAGTCTTATTATCTTCAGTATCGGCCACTGCCTAACAAAATATGTTTAACAAATCACTTGTTTGAACATTGTGAAAAAGTTTATATTTCCATATAATTCTAGAACCAATAATTTTAAAGAATGGAGCACAATACTTATTTGATATCCACCATCTCAGTTTAATGTAAATACTTTTCAAATATAAATGCTATAGCTTTTAGAAAACAGAAAAGAATGACAAAGGAAAAAGAAAGAATCCTAAACACAGGAACTGAAAACAACTCATTCAGCACAGCTTTGTGGTGCCAAAGAAAAAGTCTGCACAGAAAGCTACACGGGAGTGTGTAAAACTTCTGTTTATGGACTTTGATCCAACCTATCGTAAAACTTGCCCTCATTTAGTTTCTCCTATTCCCTTTACATGCCAAGTGTTCTCAAGCTTGCGTGGTACAAAACAAGGCAATAAAATGTCAAATACGTCACCTCTTCAATACTAAATGACCTAAAACATCACCCACAATCACAGAGCTGATTAGTAATTAATGAAAGGTAACATTATTCTAATATGCTGTCAAGAATAACAACAGCTGTTAAGTAGCATTAGCACCAGGAAGGCTTCCTGTGGAAATGCATGCACATTACAGCCCCCAGTTAACACAGTGTCTCAGGCCTGCAAGTTGTCTCAAACAGTAAGAATGAGAGAGCTCCCCGCACTGCCGTATTTTACTAGATTCAAGTAAACTTCTATGCCAATACTTTATATTTGAATTGTTCAGCTGACACCCTCAAATTCAGACAAACAAGTCATGATTACTAAAAAGCACCTGTTTGAACTGTAGGCTGTAGCTTTTAATGAGGTGCTTAGCTTGTATTTCAAGATAAATACAGGAAACAAAATACTATAATTGCATAGGTGTTTTCAAGTTCAACTGAAATTTACAGGTGTTTAAGAATTTAGGAATGCCAGAACCTTTATTTCCTTCAAAGACTACCATTAAAAGCAGACCACTTGGCCTGGGGACAGGACAGAGAGGCATGTGTAAATGTCAAATGACAACAATTAAATGATGTACAAATAGTTCTATCAGCAGTCTGACTACCGGTGCAGATGGCAAAACTGAATGAACCTAAATTTATTTTAAATCTTAAAACATTTCACATACCTCTGTAGAAATACTCTGTCTCATGGATTTCCTCAATCACACGCAGTACTCATTTTATACTTAGAAAAATGTAACAAGTGATGTTGAATTTCCAATTTTTTTAAAAAAAGCTTAGTTGTACAATTAAAATGTATGCAATAAATTTTTATCAGGATAATATGAACCACACTGGGCTTAGTAGTTTGGCATTTTTACAGTCAACTGATGTCAACTTCTTATTTTACAAGTCTCCAGTTAATGCCACTAACTATAAAGCCAAACTGGGGTTCTCCTTCATGAAAAAACCTCTGGCTGTACAAAAGTTCTTAGATTATATTCTTTAGGCTGACAGTTCCGAGAGTTTTACAACTCTTAAAATTAAGGGCCTACATTATCCTTATGTATTTTACACTTTCGATTTCCAACTTTACTCCACATCAACTATTCACTTCATTTCACACACACACACACACACACACACACACACGCACAGACACAAAGTATTCAACAGCCATCAACTCTACTATAAAAACCTTAACTAAAAAATCTTTTGGATTCTCAGATGATCTAAATTTTACAGTGAGTACTTTAATTTTAAGACCTGCGATTTTAATCTTGTGCTATTTGGGAGAAACTGTAAAGGGGAAACAAAGTAACAGCTACTCCGATTTATTTTCCAGTAATATGCTGGTACACTTTCAAAGTTTTGGTAGGGTCAGCCGGTGAAGTGTTCTTATCTATCACAGTTTAACACCACCACCAAGCCACCCCAAATTTACGTCTTTAAAGAGGGAAAACAGAGGGACATTTATGCTGACCAGACAGACTAACTTTATTCCTTTACCTGTTACTAACAGAAGCCTAAGGAACACCTACAACACACACTGTGGAAAACCAGCCCAGCTCTCTCAGCCGGAGCTCTAATTCAATGTGGGCAGAGGTGGAAGCATGCAGAAGTGAAAGCTCGAGGGACCTGCGGCCTGGAGTAACAGGTGACCCCGAAAATTGTTGACTCTGCGGCAGCAATCAATAATTCTCGGCCCATAGGGCCCTAGTACCTCACACCAAACTCGCAGAGAAGTGCTGTTTAAAAAGAAACCACTTCCCTTTCACGGTTATCCTTTGACCTTCCAGATTTAGGATTTTGAAGATTAGGGAAAGAGATTTTCAAAGGAGGGCTGGGTCTTTAAACAAAAGCGTGTAATACCTGTTCCGGAGCCATCACCTCTGTCAAAACAAAAAACCCTCAAAGGGATTAAATCCACAGCAACTCATCAGAAAAAAACAGATTAAAAGGGCCTAATCTAACACCCCAAGAAATACAACTGCAAGACAGTAAAGAAAGACAGAAAGTCACAGTCTTATCTCCAGGGAGGCATCTTCCTGCCAGTGTGACCCGTGCGCCTCCACCCAGTATCGGGTCCCCTGCGCCCCCAGGGAAAGTGGGGCGGGGAGTGCTGAATAAAGTACCTCGTTTTGTCTCCAAAGGGCAACATAGCAAACGTGGGAAGTTCGCTCCCCAACTCCGCCGGTCCTGGGCTCCGGGAGGCTCCGGGGGTGCGACGACGCGCCCAGGTGAGGCCGGGGCTGGGAGCCGGCTGCCCTAGGGCCCCCGCGGCCCCGCAGCCGCCGCAGGCC